AAATCTAAATTATCTCCTGATGACTACACTAATAGCACAGATGCAACAGATCAGCAAGTCCAAGAACAAGAAAACATGAAACCCAGACCTGTCTATTCTTCCAACTAGATATTTTCAAATGAAAATACCACAGCAAATCAAATGGACAAAGCCAAAATCAAGCTCATTATTTCTCCTTTAAACCTACACATTTTGCTGTGATTCTTACCTGACTCTTAGGCCAGAATCTAAAAGTCATCTTCTAATCCTTACACTTTACTTTCAAGTCAACCTATCAGCCCAATTTCCTAAAAATTTCTGGAATCTATCCTTTTTACAACTAATTCAAGAATGAGGAAATATGCTTCCCAGAATTGAGATGAGAGATTCTCTGGGGAATTAAGGCATTTGCCTGACTTGAACTAAGTCTCCTTCTATGGTGTGGGTAAATATAGGGCTTGGAGACTTTTGTTGCTCTCAAGAACCTTAAACAGCTGACAAGGCTGTCTTTTGGCCCATAAGCCACTTTGGGCATGTTTGGGCGTGAGAACTGTCTGTGGGCCTGCTACCGGCCAACACATTCTCCCTAACAGCACTTTTTGAAAGGAAGAGCTCTCGTTTGAAATTCCTGCTCTATTAGACCTTGGTACCAAAATCTAAATTATCTCCTGATGACTACACTAATAGCACAGATGCAACAGATCAGCAAGTCCGAGAACAAGAAAATATGAAACCCAGACCTGTCTATTCTTCCAACTAGATATTTTCAAATGAAAATGCCACAGCAAATCAAATGGACAAAGCCAAAATCAAGCTCATTATTTCTCCTTTAAACCTACACATTTTGCTGTGATTCTTACCTGACTCTTAGGCCAGAATCTAAAAGTCATCTTCTAATCCTTACACTTTACTTTCAAGTCAACCTATCAGCCCAATTTCCTAAAAATTTCTGGAATCTATCCTTTTTTACAACTAAAACATCACTTTTCTTCTCTTCTTCATTTATTTATTCAACAAATATGCATCAGACACTGTGCTAGGTGTTGGGAATTCAAAGGAGAACAACACAGACATGGTCCCTGTGCTCATGGAATACACATCTAGTTGGGGGACAAACATCAATCTAACAACCAGATAAACAAATGCATAGTTATAAAATGAGACAAAGGCTATGAAAGAAAAGTACAGGAAGTTAAGAAAGCTCTAAATAGGAAGACTAGGCTCATTTGGGAACATGGAAAGCCTCCTCTGGCCCATATCATCCCTCATCTAGACTACTGCATTAGCTTCTTAACAGCTCTGAGTCTTGCTTCCATCCCACGCTTTAATCCCTAGTCCACTCACTCCACCACTGAAAGTGGTGAAAGTCGTATTGTAGATGTCCCATATACAGTCTGTAATACTTGTATATTCATGGGTATATTTGATTAACAGCCGTCTCTCCCACCAGATCATAAACTAATGAAGGCAGAGATTGTGTCTGTTTTGCTTACTGTTTGGACCCCACTGTCTAGCACACTGTTTGCACATAATAAATGCTCAATAAATATTTACTGAGTGAATGAGTAAATGGAATAATTTTCTAAAACATAACTAGAACTGTATGTTTAAGAACTATCAAATCATGTCCCATTCTTTTTAAAAAAATTCTGTGTTGGGCCGGCCCGGTGGCGCACTGCTACAGTGCGCCGCTTGAGAGCGCGGCAACACTCCCGCCGAGGGTTCGGATCCCACATACAGACCGGTTCCCGCTCACTGGCTGAGTGAGGTGCGGGTGCAACACCGAGGGTTGCGATCCCGTTGCCGGTCCCGGTCCGGTACGGGCGCGACACTGAGGGTTGCGATCCATTGCCGGACACGAAAAAAGACAAAAAGGAAAAAAAAAAATTCTGTGTTGGCCTGGCTCAAAATAAACTAATAAGCTGATTTATTCCCTTAGAATACATGCTGTCTAGGCAGTTTGATATGTCTAATGTTTTAGTACAAACTCAGAAAAACAAATAACTCTCACTGAGAGTTTACACTGCTTATATAGGTAGGGAGATGGTAAACTAAAGCAAAAAAGTTCACCCTAAAATCTCTAAGACACTGATTTTTCACCAATTAGACTTCCAATTATAAAATTACATACACATCAATATTTTGTATAGAGACAAACATAAGCAGATTTATCTAACTTATAAAGAATGCTAATTATTTTCTATAGCATACATATCTTAAAACATATAAAATAGATATATTAATATTGACAGAACAGTTATCTAAGTTTTGAAGTTAATGACAATACCTATTTCTTTGATTTAATCATATTTTTATATTCTACAATGTTATGGACCACATTAATAAACAAGAAGCCAGGGCTCCTATATATTATATTTGGTCTACTCCAAAAATTCTCATCTCACCTCAGCATCAAAAGACATTTCAACTAAAGGTGAATCAGCCACCAGCTGGATATCAAGCACAGGACAAGATTTTGGAATCTGAGGCTTGCTAATTAAAATTACCAAGAGATTAAATAGTGTTCCCCTGAAAAAACAAATAAAAGGCAATTAATCAGTAAGCTTTGAAAACAAAAACAGTGAAGCCAAGTTTGTAGACACTTAAGTTTTGAAAACAAAAACAGTGAAGCCAAGTTTGCAGACACTGAATATAATTATACTTAAAAGTACAAAGCATTGCAGACCATTCTTGGCTAAACTTTTGGACCGTTGGACATGCAAATGAATGTCTAGAGATAAGAAATTTATTTATTTTATTTTATTTTTTCTTCCTTTTTGTCTTTTTTACTGACCGGCAACGGGATCGCAACCCTCGGTGTTGCGCCCACACCGCGCTCAGCCAGTGAGCGGGAACCGGTCTCCACATGGGATCTGAATCCTCGGCGGGAGCACCACGCTCAGCCAGTGAGTGGGAACCGGTCTCCACATGGGATCTGAACCCTCGGCGGGAGCACTGCCACGCTTCCAAGCAGCGCACTCTCCAGTGCGCCACCGGGCCAGCCCATAGAGATAAGAAATTTAAATGAAAATATAGAATCTTGGTCTTTGGGCTCAAAACAAGTGTAGTTCTAGAAGTTCACACAGCTTAGAAAATCTGTGATTTAAGGAA